CTTCATGTGTTTTAACTGTTGATTCTCTGACCTGTGTTGGTGATTTCAATGGTTTTGTTAAGTCCTCTGAGATGACTTCTGTTGTGACCTAGGGCTATACAAGAATAAATTGTAAATTGTATTGTGTATTGTAATAATCTTATAAACTAAGATTAATTTGACATTTATCCCAAAGAAGAATAAATATTTCAGATGAAACTGGTGAATGTTTAGAGCAGATAGGGGTGAAGGGGTGAAGGTGTGTGAATAGAAAACACCTGTTTGTTGGGCGAGTCAGCTGAGTGAGCCGACATGTGCTTTAGGCCGTTCGTGTGGTGCCACTGGTTTTCCATGTACATGTGACACAGAGCCCCCTAGTCCTACAGCATGAAAGAGACCGCCAACATCCACGCAATATCCAAAATGACTCAAATGCAGATCCGGAGAGGACCCAGACTTCCACAGAACAGACAAACCCACTTTAGCTCATGGCAAGATCACACGTTTAATGGGAAGAGAAGGGGAAAATCTATTATGGATCGCTGTAAAAGTCCATATGAAAGTGGTTTTAAAATGAGCTTACCACGCAGGGTCTGAAAAGATAAAACTAGTCTGTCCGTGTCGATCAAACGGATGTGTGCCAGGCATATTGAGACCAACAACATGAAAGGTGTCGACTTGCCCTGTTAACAAGTAGACTTGTTTGAGTCTGTGAAATAAAATGTCACCACTTTAAAAAGTGTTGACAAATGTTTAGGAGAATGGAAAATCACTTAAATAGGACTTAAACAAGTAAAACGATTTATCACAACTTATCAATTAATCATGCTGAGAAGAGGTTTTATGACTGTGAAAATGTGTTTACAAAGTTGAATCAATCTGCCCAATGTGTGATAAGTCATCCCTCTATCCGTTTTAGTTAAATGTATAAAACTCCCGTATTCACTGACCTATTGAGATCTAAACAATAGCTAAACTGATTCAAATTAATCTGTGATAAAGAATTGTATTTATTTTACATAACATCTAAAAAGTATTAAATGTATACACAAATTAGTATATTCATGGACAATCTGACCTGCATAGTTAAAAATGTAAACAGACATTATGATATTGTAAGTATTGTCAGTAAAATAGCAACCATATCAAGGTCATGTTAATTGCTTCAATCTGCACATTTTAAGCAGAATAGATTGGAAAGATGAGTGTCGCCAGCCTGGCGGCAACACATGATTATGGGTCTAGGAATAGGGAGGGAGCTTTTGTAGTCTATTTTGTAGTCTATTCAACATCATACTTAAACTTCCTGTAGTAGAGAAAGCTCTTAGTTGACCCTGGAAGGATAACAAGGCTTTAGCATGGATACTTGTTCCTTTTAGTGCTGCAATAGAAAAAAAAGGCAAAACAAAAACAAGAGTGAGGTGACCCCCACATGAACCACCTCACAATGACTTTTGTTTTACTCCAGTCCATATTAAAAGCCTATGGGTGAAGTATAGAAAAAGACCTTCTGGAAAAGTGTCACAGAACTATGCTCACACAATGCCGTTGCTGGAATAAACTAAATCATTTGGATATAGTCCAACTAATCTCAAACAGGTAGAATATGCACCATGGAACATATCTTCAGGTAGTTTGTTGGTACATTGCAGATCTCAGAATTCTTGAGTTTCATTAAACTGGCCAGTAGGGGGCGAATGAGCAGAGGTGGGACAACTCAGTTTTGCTCCCATTGAAAACCATGTAAATTGTGTCTGTTTTGGAGTCAACAGGCTCTCAACCTGTGCGGTGTACGCCGTACGGTTGTTGTAACAGTCTTAATCGGGAGGGGGACACTCAATTCTAAGGGAGTACTAAATAACTTCTCTAAAGAGTCTTGATTTCTGGCATTTTTGAAAAAAAAAACCAAAAAAAACAGAAGAAATCTGTTTCTTTCGGGTGGACTGCAGGGGGCGCTTATCTGGGAAAACCTTGGTACCCGCTTCATTCGATGGATTTTTTCCAAAGTGTACTCCTTTATATGAGACCACAGTTGGAACACGGTTGCTACAACCGTACAGCGTACACCGCACAAAAAGATGGCTTTTTGACAGCGCTTCTTCTTCTACTATATCTCCGTGTATCAACCCAGCAGACTGCATCGCCAGGATACGTCACCTCCAGTCCTACGTTTGTTATTCGCGCCACTGCCCTGACGTCATATGAAACCCAAGAATAACAAGACCTAACATTTGTAAGTTGAGCAAGAAATGTAAAAATTTTAAAAACGAATTTTTAGATGAACAATTGTTTATTCTGCTTTATGTCGTGTACACTAGCGTAGTGGCTGCGCGTCTCTGCAGAATACCACAGATCTTACAAAGGCCTGCAGGGACATGCTGGACAAGGTCCAAATAAAATGTAATGTTCTTTAATGAAAACTGTCAAACACGTAACATTTGATTTCCCAGCCCTATGTTTATGTTAGGTAGGTTAGGTACTTCCCTCATGAGCACAAAGCAACTGAAAACTCCCAGGACATGTGATAAGCTTTCACCAATGAGTAACCGATTATTACATGCAAGAGGTCACATGCTTTCATTTACAACGAGCATGGGCACATAATGAAATCAGAGTGGGTGAACAGAGCTCCGACAAACTGCCCCGGCAGACAATGATACAGAGGGCGTGTTATGTGGAAACTCTTCTATCTACAATGAGTGCCGTTATTTATAGCTGGGGTACAAAAGGAAACTGTGTTGAATGAACTCAGAGCTCTGTGTAATGAAAAACAGGATTGTTTATTTTGAAGTTCAGAAGTTAGTGACTTCTCATCTGAAAAATGCTTACTTGAACAAAAACATTGGGCAAACAAAGTAACACTGAAAGGGGCATTTTCATTTTCAGATGCATTTTCAAAAAATAGGACGTCACAGGCAGCTCAGGAAGATTTTTTAAAGAAACTTTATTACAACAATTATTGTGAGTGCCCCACCACATCAGACTTTGCTTTCCCCATCCTACCCTGACTGTGTATTCTGTAGTGGTTTCTAATTACCTCTAAGAGATGGTGGTGGCTGAGCATGTGAGCGACCATATGGCTAAGTGGGATATCGAGACCCTATGGCTGAAGAATACAGCTGGCTATTGTTTTCAAAGCAGGGAGGCTTCAGGGAAAGTTTGAGTCAGTGGGGTGAGATGAAACTCAGTGGGGAGCTGAAAACCCACAGCACACAGCAGAGGTAATAGAACCAGCCACTTGTACTGTCATTCAACAGCCATGACTGACCAATTAGTTCCCCATAAGACTGTGCGTCCCACATGATTGTAAGGTCAGAGGATCAACGAAACAGTCAAAGAGACCCAGTTTCACCTTAAGAAACTGGAGAAGAACGGTCACCAGAGCAAATGCTGCTCACATCACCCCAACTTCTACTTGTTTATAGCCTCTTGGAATGTAGCAGTTCTGCTCGTCATTAACAACAGACACAGCTCCTGCTCACATGGCTCTCATGAAAAACATTAAAGCCCTCTGCTGCAAGAGGCGCTGCATTTTGGGATGGCCTGGGGCCCAAATTTGTTTTAGGAAAATCAAATGAGCGTAGAATCAGTCCAGGCCGCGGTGAGCACACAGAAGGACATTAAGCCTCAGTGGACATATGCCAGGGGAAACAGCAGTGGCACGTCTGGAATCCGACTTGGAAGGAGGAGATGGTCGTTTGGAGCAGACCGCAACGGCAAGCACATGATGGGATCACTGAATGACTTACTGTTGGAGGTCGTTTTGCACCAGAAGCAGCTACAAGGAAAATGTTGTCCTCTCCATTTCAGATCTTCATCCCGTTTAGCAGTCATTTACATGTGCTTTAGCAGGAGATGACAATATGGATGAAAACAGGGAGTATACATTAAAGACACACTTTAAAAGTTGTTTCACGTAAACTCTGGGACGTTATGGCTCTGGCGTTGATGAGAGTATATCTTGTCATTTGAAACTTTATCCAAACAGATTAGATTTGAGTGGCACAAGAAAAGGTGGGGTGAACAAAACAGTGAAATAGATAAATAATTCAGGTGGCACATGCACCACTTTTACCCTATAACTGTGTAAACTAATGTATGGAAAAGAAGCGCAAACAATGGCAACACATGTCCCTTATGAAAAAAGCAAGCCGAAAGTTGTATCCATTCTTTTTCATTAGTAACAGTATACATGGATATCTACAAAATATCTATGCGACTGTCAATTATACATTGGCCAGTTTTGCTGGCGTACTGCAGCAGCCCCAGCCATTTGATGCAAAAGTAAACATTAAGGAAAATGAAAGGGGAGGCGCAACATTGACATTCTTCATTGATTTCAGTGAAGAATGTCCTAGCTATGCACACATATTTAATACACAAGGAATCTCCAAGTACATTGTGTGTCATGTCCGTTAAAGAATATAACTAGAGGATTTTGGCACTGCCACAACAACATAAACAAGTTTTGACAATGTGTTCCAGTTGGACATTAGGTATGACTAATAAAAAGAAAAACGTAACTATGAGTGGTCTGCACGTTGTATACATAGAAAAGTATGAACTCACAATTGCCTCAATTGCAACGTTCTTTCATTATAACTAAAAACAAAGGGCAAAGAGACTTCGACAAAAACTTTGCTCATGTGCATTTCACGATTAGGTTTCATCAAGCTAGCGGGTTAGCACAGTCCATTATAATAATGTCTATCGACATGATTTGTTTCAAAATAAGTGAACTGACTGTAGTGACTAGTGGATGAGGGTGCGCTTGTGTTTGGTGCGTTCATATTTCCATAAAGTACCCCCAAGTGCACCGGAATTCACCTGTGTGTTCACACTCAAGTGTGTGACTTAACAGCGGCAAATGGAGGATTAGAGAAGAGATATGACAGGGTTTACAAAATATAATAAATGTTTGAAGCACAGCCCTTTCACCACGCTGCCTCTCATTGCTGTTCATGAATAGGCTGCATCAGAGACAAACAAGCATAATAAAAAACAAAAAACAGGAAACATACCTTTGTGTGTCTTTGCCGCTCTCAGAGTTGAGCTCCACACTGCTGCCGTCCCCTTGTGACCGACGGTCCACTGAAGGGTCAAGCTCAGGATGGGAGCATTCATCTTGGGTGTTCAGACTATTGGCCAGGGGGTCTCTATCCTCCTCTGACAGAGGCTTGCTGCGGTCCTGGCTCCCCATGCTGCTGATGCTGCCTGTGGTGTCATGCTGGGCTCTGTCCAGAGCTCCAGCTTTCTTGGCCTCTTTGCTGCGCTTCATGGCTTGTAACTGAGACAGTGGTACAATGTCTGCTCCCTGAGGCTGGTGCCACACAGTGCGGCGGCCGGTGGAATTGTAGTAGTAAAAACGTCCACTATTGGGATCAAACAGTTCCCACCACTGGTTCCCATCAGCCTGACGAACAGGTACTCCAGAGGGAGGCTCCCAGCCACACTCGCCAGTGATCAGGTTCACATACATCCTCTCACGAGAGCGTGGCTCCAGAATCTCCACCCAATCAGAGCTAAAGAAAGAAAACACAAACGGAACGTTTTAATAGCAGACACAAATGATCCATCTAAACAACCAAAGTCACATTATTGACTAATGTAATGTACCAGGTATGGAAAAGTAAAGTAAAATACAATAATACACATTTATCCAGAAACATAATTTGACATGTGAACATTCTGATGGACTGCCTTAACATTCTGCAAAATTAAATGTAGTTACCAACTCTTGGTGTGGTGACAGCTCAAGTGGTTTAAATCTCTACCCTTTCCCATTTGGCTACAGTATCAATATTTGTATCCCCTATGAGTCACCATCTGTAGAAAGGCTCTGTTAGCAGTGATATCATCTGTTGATATAAAATGCTAGCGGGTAAGCATCCCAGAATAAGAGGACAGGTGGATCATCACAACAGGACAACAGGCTTTGGGTCAGCAGTGCAGGGACACAAGCATACGGTGTTGTAAGTGCAGCCAGTGCAAACAGTATTGAGCTTTAACTACAGAGTGTAAACAGCAGACTCAGCAGTGCCCACAGCAACAAGAGGCAGACCAACCATGAGCTAGAGAGGCAGAGGCCATGATGAAAAGAGTTAAAGACATACAAAGTAAATGCGTCATATTTTGTAAAAGAAAATAATATAGAAAAGAATGCAAAATAAAATTCTTAGTTTGTGATTTTTTGTTTACAGGCTCTGGCAATAAAAACATTGAACATGAAAAAATCCATTTAAATATTCCCTACTGTATTCTTTATGTACAACAAAAGCCGCAGGAGACAAACCATGTGCTTTGTGCTGAGAAACCATCTGCTCGGCTCCCTCATATTATGGGATCACACCACAGTAATAAGACAGACTGAAGAGCAAGTTACTACAGATATTCATTTTATTCCTTACATGTTTTATATCTCCATTATACCATCTTATTTATTGATTAAAGATACATTAGTTGAATTGGAGGCATAGAAATCATGCATGTCAAAAGTATTCAAGTCAATGCATGAATGCAAATCTATGAAAATCAGATATTCCAACTGTGCTAGATGGAAAATAAAATGAATTGTATGTGCAGTTCTTGGAAGGTGAAAAGTGATGACAAGTGAACCAGCTGAATGGAGTTTGTACCAAAAACCTCACGATGATGAAATGTTATAAATAAGTAAATATAGAAGAGATAAAAAGTGAGGCTTTCTGTGGTATTTGAGGATATTTGAACACATTTGAATATAATATCTTTTGATGTAAAAGTTTATGAAAAAGAATGTATTATTTTTTCACATGGTTGTTTTGTTGTTTGTTCTGTATACCTTTTCATTCTTTTACTGGAATTAGAGGAACATGCAAGACCATGAATGCAAGCCATAAAAACAAAGATGGGCCCATGATGTATCACTGAAATTTGCTCTCAGTAGTGAACAATCTCTTCAAGTATAGAGCCTGCATGTATTGATAAGACAATGATAAGAAGCATGGTCATCATGTCAGGAGACGACTCCTGGGGTGATTAGATTTGCAACCCTTAAAGGGTGGGAGGCTTTGCAAATAAAGGAGCATTGTAGGCTGGGGCCAAACAGTCAGAACTACCCTTCACATACCAGCGTCTTTATCCTTTTAGCTTTCAGAGAAGAGGCATTCCTGCATTTAGAAATGGATCAGTGTCGCATTCCTTATCGCTCAACATTGGAAGCTACACAGCCAAGCTACTTTAGATAAAAACACCTTTAGTCTTTAGTTGAACAGTCAAAGTAAAGAGACATCAACTACCTATAAAAATATGTTCTGCAGTAGTTAAATATATCAACCATTCATTGGAGTTTTTCCAGACCAAATTCCTGAAGAGTGGTGGCACAAAGGAACCTATGAAAACATTTTAACCAAGTGTGGAACATTTTGTGAGGGTCATTTGAGATGGCTGTGGAAGGTGTTGCTTTCATTACATAAGAACTTGTCCTTCTAAGAAAATAAACAACTTTAAGAGCCGAGAACTGGCCTGCTGGGCAGTGTTGACACAACCAGATAAGCAGGAAGAAGAGCGGTTAGGGTATATGTCGAACATTACATAGTTGCTGTCATGAGACAGGCGATAAATTATCTAGCAGCAATAACATAAAAAATGTCACTTTGATCACAGACCAGCTTATGAAATCGAATTTTTAAATGATAACATAATGTACATTTGTTTCTAAATCATTTTCAATTATTAGGTGTTTGTAATTATGTTGTGTGACCCTCATTCCCCCATCCACATTTCATGTTCATATAACAAGGCAAACATTGTGCCAGATGCCCATAAATACTCAAAGATCGACCTCAATGGTTTTTTTTGTGACTGCTTGTTTTGACAGTCCAGTCCCGGTTCAGGTCTCAACCAACGGGACTTCGCGGCAAACGCACAATCTGACACATGCATTTGCACATGGACTAATTCAAAGATGTTCTTTATATTTGCAGACATTTATAGCTCATCATTTGCATCTGTGGTTATTTTTGTGCATTTACTCATTACATGGATGTAATTTGAACAAATTATTACTTACTTTGATAATGTATTGGAATATTTCTAAACAAAATTAGTTCAATTATGCACGTAATTAAACAGAACTGGACCAAAGGTATAAGGTGTCTGGAACTGTATGGCTGTAGATGACACATTTCTAGTGAACAGCAGTCGTAGTGCAATAGAATTGATGAGCCTTTGTTTTCCATTTTCTACTTATCTGAAATTATCTTAAATTTGCAGACTTGTTTTGGTAAATTTAGTGCATCCATGGAAAATCAAGTAACAAAGTGGAATTAGATTAACACAGAACGCTTTGTTTCCTGTTGGGATCAAGAATGTGATTTGGTCAAGTTAAATATGATGTGACTGGAAATAAAGCTTGACAAATCAAGTAATATGTTAACATCTGAACCAATGTCAGTTCTATAAGTGGAGTAGTGACTTTTCAATGTGCACAATAAGAATAAATACTTAATCTGTCAACTGCACTTTACAGTAGGCCCCAAAAATAAACAGTTTTCCATAGGGATGGAAATACCACAAAATAGTTTCAATCAATCCATTGTTTCAACCCAAATCCAAATTGTAGATGGCATTGGTCAACACACACAACTGGACAATAGTATCAGTGAAACTGATGAAAATGGTGCATCTTGGGGATTGCAAACACATACCAGAGTGGCAGTGGATTACATTACAAAGATAAATAAATTGACAGTGAAAATAAGATCGAGATCTGCTTAGAGAATATCTGAGGGTAAATACCACTTGAATGAGATAATAGTAATAGCTGCCATACAGAAGCATGCTTGGTTGGCGTCTTGGAATTTATTTTTATCTGCCATTTCAACTAAATGATGCACTTAATAGCATTAAAATGTGTATATCCGTTTCCAGTGTAAAGGAAAACTATGGCTGTGGGCACATGCACACCCTAAAGCCCAGTTAAAGTGGGCCTGAGCCCATTTCGCAATTTGATCCGGGCTTTAGGCGCCATCTAAGCGGGTGGTGGGGAGTGGGGGATGAGGAGGAACTTGACATTGTGCGTCAAATTACGTCTTCCGTTGTGACGCGCAGTTTCACATACGTCTCTCTCTGCACTTTCGTATTCTCTGCTTGTGTTAAACCTTCATAAAAGCCTGCGGACCGTGGTCAAGGGGTGCGACGCTCCAGGGCCAAAGGGAAGCGTTTCCTAAGGGAATAACTCCCTTCTGTCCTCCAGACCCTTACTCTCAGTGTGGTGCTATTGCAATAATATTTCAGACATTCAAGAATCAGTCTTTTTTTAATTGCCAGAACGCACCAACACACACTTCTATCCTGCCAGGCTCCGGTCGCTCTGCTCGTACGCCACTTCATTCCTTCATTCTCATTCATTCATTTCTCAGCGCTCACGCTCGTTTCTAAAGAGAAGCGATCCCGTGTACGCGGGGCATACACACACACACACACACACATACACACACACACACACACACACGTGACCCACTGAACTGCTGCACTTTGCATCAGAGCAATGCGAGATGTGTCTTTCCATAAACAAAACGATCCGTACTCAAGCTGTCAGCACTCCAGTAGCAGAATGTAAACAGGAAGAGAAACAGAAACTTAACTCTGACAACAAAGTTGTCGCTGAAGTTAGTATTAGCGCCACCAGCTGGACCGAGCGTTGTACTACAGCACAATTGCTCTGGCACGTGACCGTGGGCCGTTTTCACAACCCTGTGGCGACGATCTGGGCCACTTAGCCTATCATATCATACGGATAGTGATTTTTTGTCCTAAAATGAACTGGGTTGTTAGGGCTGGGCAATATAAGCGGCATGCGATACAAATTTGGCCAACGGTAGAGATTTTTGTTATACCGGCATATTGCAATAGGTCAGTATGTCATCAAATTGCACGGGGCCCAACGGAGGTTAATCCGGTGCCGATTGGCTAAAGCTAGCGCAGGCTGAAATCCATTGCTGCAAGCGCCGAGAAAAGCGCTTAGGGAGCATCAACAAATGTCAAGACCAGCTTTGTAAACGAACAATAGCCATTAAGTCCTTAACCAGCCAAAGAGTTCCACCTGTTTATTTAATTTCATTTGACTAAGGATATGTTTTTTATATAGTGAAGTTCTAAAAACTGATTATGAAATTCCATGATTCCTGTGGAGATTAAAATTAGGACTAAAAAGTGCTCAACCCGATCCACCCAAATGGTAATTTTCTGTTCTCAAATTGGCATCCCTACTCACTAACCACAGGGTCTTCTGTTCAATCTGCATTTCAAAAGCATGGCGTCTCTTCAATAATATTATATGCTAAAGATGTATTAAATACTGGATGAATTACTGGTGATTTTATTTGTGGAGACTGGACATTTTCAAACAAAATAATATATATTAGATTCTTATTTATAAATAAGAAATAATCTTGACTATTTTATGCAAGAACCTGCAAGACCTATTGAAATTCACACACCAAATTATACCGCAATATGAATTTTAGGCCATATCGCCATTATC